CCCAGCACTGGGTTATATTTAACCCAGCATTTTTTAGAGTGTATGATAATCCGTTTTATATCGGGGCACGTTGTCACAAACTGAACGTGTCTTCAATTAACTGTTTTTTTTTTCAACAGTACAAAATCCAATAGCTACTTATACAAAGGATAAGGAAATATTCAATCTTTTTGTAGCCAAAACTGACTTTAAAAGCAAACTCACATTGGAGCAAAAAAGGTTTTCATTAGGCTATAATCTTAATATAAAACTCTGAATAGGCTGTTAATATCTCCTCTCCCATTCATTTAGTGGAAGGAAATTCAGTATTAGAGACTAAAAATAGACTATTTTACTGCGATCTATTTGGTCCAACCAGAATATCAAGAGATACCCGCATAGGCCTATATTTTGCCACCTACATACTATCTTTAGAAAACAAATAGCTTACTGAATATTCCTAGACACCACGTGCCGAATACGTGATTTGATGGAAACACGCAATAAGAGGGTATTGCTCTAAAGAAACGTCTTGTTTTTACTCCTACAGGTGGCTTGAGCACCGATAGCTTCGGCGTGGAAAAACGGGACCTTGAACTGACAGACCCGAGCAAGTTTTCTCCACACAGCGCGACTGTCGCCTACACAGGGAAAATTTCCATCGACGCGCATGGAAGCTGGAATCAGGAGGGAATAATCAACTTTGTCAGCGCAGGAGTGCAAGATAGGCCACCTTCCCCGGGATCATTCTCCACGGGCTCCCCGTCAGACCCAGACTGCTCCAAAATAGCTCAAACCCTTGCCAACATGGAGCATATGTACACAGGCCCGCCCCCTTACACCTGTAGTGCCGATGGTTACCAGGACCCCTCGGCTTACCTATCGACCACCACGTGCCCCATAACTTACGCAACTCCATCCTACTCAACCCCAAAGCCATCTATAGACGGGACGCTTTTCTCTATCTTTCCAGACTATGGGGGGTTTTATCAGACCAGCAACAGCCAAAGGGACAACATGGCTGTGTTTCAGGACATCAAGCCATTTTCGTGCGCTTTGGAGTCTATCAGAGTCCCCCCACCTCTGACTCCCTTGAACACCATTAGAAATTTCACTCTGGCGTGTCCTGTTGACGGGCCGAGGCCGCCTGTGGATTGCACCAATCCGCAAAGCGTCCCACTCAGGCCGATTCTGCGGCCACGGAAATACCCGAACCGACCGTGCAAGACGCCGGTCCACGAGCGGCCGTACCCCTGTCCGGCGGAGGGATGCGACCGGAGGTTTTCGCGCTCGGATGAGCTGACGCGCCACCTGCGCATCCACACCGGCCACAGGCCGTTCCAGTGCCGCATCTGCATGCACAGCTTCAGCCGCAGCGACCACCTCACGACGCACATACGCACTCACACTGGAGAGAAGCCCTTCTCCTGTGACTTCTGCGGCAGAAAGTTTGCCAGGAGCGACGAGCGAAGGAGGCACACAAAAATCCACCAGAGA